CCCCCCCCTATAATTCTTTAAATTAATTTTCTGGCACTCAAAAAAAGTTATCTAAGATACTATACCAAAACATTTTATGTAAACCAAAATGAAATGTTATGAAGAATACCAGCCTACCTTTTTTAAAAGTGATGCACAAGGAGATGAAAGTGACAGAGGGGAAAGCAGTGAATCTGAGGATGAAATACCTTAAGGACTTTCAATTGTCAACCGTTTGTTTAGATTGAGATTGAGTCTTCTGTTTATCAGAGTCTCCAATTAAAACATAAAAAGTCAATTTTTCTGTTATTGATATTGCAGAATTTTATTTGCATGGTCCCCCCTTTTTATGTGCACACAAATTTTTGGTCCCCCCCTCATTTCCACCAGCCACCCCCTCCCTGTAAATAGTGTTAGGTCCCTAAGGACACACTGGTAGTTATGTAGCACAGCATGAAAACTGGATTATTTTCATTACTGCAACATGTTGCATGAATTCAAACCAACTCACCATGTTACCCTTATACCATGTTAGGCTATAACTAGTAGAGGGGCAAAGGAAGCAGTTGCTTTCTTTAGAAAAAAAACCAACATTTTTTTGAATTCCATCTTTTTTTGGAGTGTTGGACAGATAATCTGAACTTTGCTAAAATTACCTTTAAGTTTTTAAAATCCAATTCCCTCATCTTTATACAAAAGGTTTTGAATTCAAAGACAAGTGAACATTTGCATTTGCTTAGAGTTTTCACCTTTGCTTTCTTCTTCCCATCAGGAAATATGTATGCTGTGGGTGGCTGTGATGAGAGTAACTTCCGACTCAACAGTGTGGAACGATACAATCCATCAACAAACACTTGGACATTTACAGCTCCCATGACCACTTGTCGAAGCAGTCCATGTGTGTTAACATGCCGTGTACTGTATGTAATCGGTGGAGTGAGCTATGTGGGAATGTCGCTTAACACTGGAGAGTATCTTGACCCCATGACAAATACATGGAGGGCAATTGCCACTATGCATTACAAGCGAGCTAGTGCTTCAGGAGCAGCAACAAATGGGAAGATCTATGTCATTGGTGAGTTAGTTATCTAGCACTATTATTGGTCAGTTAAGTAGCCCACATTTCTCATATGGCCCACTAAATTCAAATCTTTTGTGTAAATTTAAATCTTGTCCCTCTTTTTGAGCTCAGAGATATAAAAAAACTATCATTAGTACTAACCTAGTTTTCTTGGTCTGTACTGTAAGTCATGGAACCTTGTTTTTCTGCTTGGATTTATGGCTTGTACACTTCACATTCAGGCCATAAATCCGGGTGGACAACAGTTGGTTTGTAGCTTGCAGTAGTCAGACCCTGAACGTGGTCAGTAAGGAGTATTTACATGATGCCTGAAAACCTTTAGGCACATAGCCTCTGGTAACTAAGGGTATTTGATATGCGGGGGTACTTACACCCCCGTAGGTTACCCCTGGCCAGTACTTATGTTGTATTTCCAATTTCATGTCAATTTTAAGGTGGCTGGGATGGTTCTGTTCATCTGAACAGTGGCGAGGTTTATGATCCCGATATAGACCAGTGGTCCTTGATTGAACCTGCCAGCACTGCCAGATGGGATGCTGGGATAGCTGTAGAGAGTGAAAAAATCTACATTGTTGGGGGATGTGACAGGAATGCACTTTGCACTTTGGAAACGGAGTGCTACAACCCTGATAAAGACAGGTGGAGTAAGGTGGCATCCCTGCCAGTTGCAACACATGGAATTAAGTGTTGTACCATCCAGCTTCCTCATAAATTTGCGTAGCTATCTCAGCATGTGCAGTTTGTTGCTCAATCCTGCAACTCCTAAGATGTGATCAGTAATTTTCTCTCCAGGAAGCTGTATGTTTCCTAATAAATTAGTTCCAACTATTTGACATTATATTAAGATGGTACTTCTAGGAACAAAAGGGTTCAAAACTGCACATGCACAGAACTAGGTAGACACAGGATATGATATATTTCACTAAGGCAAATTGCTATCTCAGCAATTACAATTTGATTGACCAGCCCAAAAGGTGTCATTTTGTTGCATTGTCAGGTGAGGGTAGGCAAGCGGTAGCTTAGTGCAAGGGGAGGGGCCCCTCTACTTTTCTCTTCCCTCCCTACCTCCCCTCTGATTGGCTTTGTTCCCCTGCAAGAAAAAATGCATCTCTTCCGCCACGAGAAATGCACCTGTGTGTGCAAATTGTATGATACTGACCTGGGAATTGGTCTTCAATCTTGTTATCAGGCCCAAGTCAACGTGTAAATTTTTGTTACTGTTTATATTTTTAAAGTTAGGGGTAGTACAGTATTCTTAGTGATCAGTTCCTCGATACTGTGCCAATATTGATTGGATAAATTTAATACTGTTTGCCTATGGGATTTTGAAGTCAGATATGAATTGCACTTAGTTGTGGGACACATGTTGTAAATACTCATTTCTTATACCATGTCCATTGTACTGAAAATGTGAATAGCCTATTGAGTTTAGATCTTGTCTTATATTTTAATCTCCACAGGAATGTTATTTACTAGAGAGAATTGGCATGTTTGGGGAACACAGTGTAACTGTGTTCGGTGAACAGTTTTAATTTTATTTTCAACAGAGAAGTAATTCACTTACGGTTAGTTGTATGAAAAAAGCCCAGATACGGATTTTTAGCATATTGAACATTTTTTTCAATGATAAATGGCAATTTAAAGTGCTGACTCTTTTTGATTTCATAAGGCCTCATTCAATTTTAATGCTTCACTTTCCCCAAAAAATTTATTTCAATTAAAAGGTTAGATAAAGAAAACTCAATAATATTGTATTTTGGGTGGGGAGTAAGGGGGGGGGAGAATTCTACAGGGGTGGCGAGGGAAGCTCCACCTCGATCAGAAGGGCAAGCTAAGACTATTACTATCCACTAGTTCATAATTTCTGAAATACCATAGCGTTATTTTATGATACCAATCAATATTACTCACTTTTGGAGGAAATATTTCTAAGTAACTATGTACCTATCCTGTATGGCTAGTTTTTGGTATTTTCCTTATATCAGCAGGTTGTTAATATTGTTCAAGGATATAATTTAATAGGAGTTGAATTAAATGATGAGTTTTAATGATAGTCCTATTGAAATGAGAAATTGGAAAAAGAGGGTTCAAAGTTTGCCTTAAGAGATTTAACTTACAACATGCCACTGAGAAAAGTCTGTGCTTGAACCTATTGGACCACCCAGCTGGATCTTATCCCTATCTAAGTATGTATTATGTTTCGTGGATGGTTAAAAGTGACCCAATATTCTATAGTTTAGCTACAAAGCTATCTGTTTTCTCTCACAAAATGATGTACCTTAGAACACATTTTGAACTATGGGTTTTTCGTCTTTTAGTGAAATTTAAGATGTGCAACTGTGTACAGCCAATTTTATTTAAAAAAAAAAAAAAAGCACTGTTACTCTTAAAGTAAATACTTCAACCACTAATAATTCCATAACATTAAAACAATCACCCACTCATGTTGTAACTTACTTATTACACAGTCAACTGATTGCATTGTGGACCAGTCACAGCAAGTTAAGGAGCAAACCTGATGCAATCCTGGATTACTTAGACACCCAATTAAAATTAATCTTCAATATAAATGGAAGGGCATTATCCTGTCATTCCAGCAGTTTTCTTTTTTCTTCCTTTTCGTTCATCTTGAGGCAAAAGTATGTAGCTTGGGAGATGATAAATAGAACCAAAAGTACAGCTTCGCCTGAGGCAAACAGCTGGAATGCCTTTATGGCACCAAATGCATCAATGAAAAAGCCACACAAGGCAGTTCCTACGCCACAACCCACACCAAGAAACAAAGAGTTCACCCCTCCTGAGAAGGAAAAAAATATGCCATCAGTGTCAGTTAAAAAATAAAGCACTTGCGGACCAAACATTACCTATTACGGGGGGGGGAGGGACTGCCAGTGGAGGAGGGGTCACTAGCATAATAAAATAAAGATCCCTGGGGGAATCAGGCAAATTTTATTGTGCCACAACTAAAATCCTTAAAGCCTCCCCCACCCCCAGCCCAAATGATAGGTAACAACCAGTCCCTTATTTATGATGTTGTGACTTAAAATTTGACTTTCTTTTTGCCGAGCAAAGAGTCTAGGAAAGTGTTTCATTTTTCTAACTGCGAGATTTTATTCAATTTATTAAATTTTCCCTTTGAACAAGACCCCGGGAACCTGTTAACGAGTTTGAATTCCTTTCTTGTTCTCACCTTGCACTGTATCCATCAGATAAGTGGGTGTTACTTCACCAAAGTAACTGATGAGGCCTGTAAAGCCAGTTACATACGCGGTGTAGCCAACAGTCTCAAAAAGAAGCATAAGCCAGGGGTTCTTCATTAGAGACATTCCCACAAACCAAGTGACAAACAGCATCATGGAGAACACAATGACCCCAGTGTAACCAGTCTTTTTCACGCACAGGCCTGTGAAGCCCAGGAACACCACACTGACCGCAGAGCTAGTCATCCGTGAGAAACCAAACACCAAAGTGGCGATAGTAACATCTAAGGTCTTGGTGTACCAAAACCCAAACGTCAACACAACTCCATCGAAACAGCCAATCAAGAACGTCATGACGATGAAGACAATATTTTGATATCGAGAGAAGAAATCTAACAGAGTCAACGGCTTTCCGTCGCCATTTTCTTCGGTGTTGTCGCTGTGCTCAATCGCCTGATCTCCAAATTGTGTTACAGAAACAAGCGAAGTCAAAGCCATGATAAAAATGACAGTGAAGACAAAAGCAAAGTTGTCTTGGTACTCCCCACAAAGCATATAATGGTAATGGGTAACAAATAGAGCCGTGGTGGGAGCAGCAATCATGTGCCCAATTGGGCCCCAAAGTCGGATCTTGCCAAAATCGCGGCTATTTTCACCGAGGTAGTCCACACTTTCAGAATTAGCCAAGCTAAAGGCAGGTGACGCGAGGAGTTCTCCAACAAAGACAATGAACACAAAAATGAGAAATATGGTGTTGATGTCTTGTGGACTTTTTTCAAGGATTAGGACATGATCTCGACTCAGAGGTGCTTCCCTTGGAGTCCGTTTCGTTATCGGTGGTAGAGAACGTCTTGAGATAAAATGCTCAAGGACGTCAGGTTTTTCTTCCACTCCACGAGACTTGATCAACGCGTCGCTACGATGGAAGGAGTTTTTTCCCTCTTGAGAGGCGATCATATGACGCTTGTTTTCAGTCAGGTTCTTTCCCACTACCACCAAGCACTTATCGTGAGTTCTTCTTGGAACTAAAGACACTAGTGGTGTAACAGCCGTGGATAGAACGCTCATAATCAGCAACGCACGTCGAATTTTCCACTTGCTTGCCATTTTTCCAAAGACGACCCCGCCTGAGGAATATGCCACACCCCAAACGGCTCTTAAGATGCCAATCTGAGTCGGAGACAATCCAAGCTGCTGCCAGTAGACCGGCATAAAGAACATTTTAAAGCTAAAACACGTCTCGTAGAAGAAGTAAAACGAACTTAATGCAATCCGTGTTCTGTGCTGCGAACAAAATTCCAAGATGCAGTTTGACTTTTTTTTGGGCTCTAGTGAAGGGGTACTTGACATTATTCTTTCTCCTTTTGATAAATACCTGAGACAAAATAAAAAGTAACAAACTACTTAAACAAGGTAATTGGTTATATCAACTAAGTTGAAGTTGTAAATTGGCCACCGTAACGAGTTAAAAAGCTGACATTTCGAGCGTTAGCCCTTCGTCGGAGCAAATGTGGGTTGCATGTGGGTTTATATGCAGAAATATAAACCCTCCATACGCTTTGACGAAAGGCTAACGCTCGAAACGTCAGCTTTTTCACTCGTTACAGTGGCCAATTTACAGTTTCAACTCAGTTGACATAACCAAATTACCTTGTTACCCCCACTGATGCAGCACCAGTTTAGAAACTTTCACCCTTTACTAAAAAAAGGACTGTTAACGTTGAAGCAGATGGCCATTGTCCGAATGAGTCGTAATCGCCTCGGAGCATTTTTTTCGGGGGGGGTCAATCAACAGTCATTTTCGTACAATTACTTAGTTCATTTAAAATATCTTTTTTATAAAGACCTTTAGTTTGGGAAGTTTAGCCAAATGTGTTATGTTTTCTTTATTTTTATTACGTCTGTATTAATCGCGATCGATCATAGAATTGAAAGTGTGAATCAGCTTTATTATGACATTTTAATGTTTTTCGACCGACGTTTAAATGTAAAGTTTGAGTTATCAGTATAAATTTTAGCCAAAAGAAAAGTAAAATCAGTTGAAGTAAATGGAGAATTCGAGTTATCCGATCGAGTTCGAATAAGATAATAGAAATGACTGGAACAGCGGGGTAAAATAAACATGAATAAAGGGAAATCGGATCTTGTCACGGCAGGGGTGTTCGAGTTAGCAAGACATTACTGTATTCCATTTTCAGATCTACCAAGCTGCGGCGTGGTAAATAAAATAAATCGCTTTAGTCAAAACAATCAAGGCACGGTTGGTAATCAAAAAATTTTAACTGCTCTAAGGTGGTGTTCTCTAGATTTTGACGTGTATCTAAGGTGTTTTATGTTCTCGTGACTACTGTTAATCGCTGGTAATTAAATTTCTAAAAACAAACAAAAGGAGATATTAATCGGCTTTTCTAGAGGTTTCCGCAAGTTCCTCATCGAATGCATTAACTTCAACTGACCTTTACTGATGGAAAGGACTTACCCGCTGAAAATTTTGCCGATTTGATTTTGCTTATTGAACTTTTTCCTCCCACGTTCTGGAAACTTATCTTTTTTTACGATGCAACCTAATCTCTGTCTAGCGTGAAGCAACACCTGCGCGCAGGTACAGAGATCATGATTTTCAAATTCTTTCCAAACAGGTCTGTAAAATTGCCACTTGTCAAAAACGTCAAGTTGAGCCGTGTGGGCAATTACTGGGCAGGAAAAAAAGTCATCCTTAGTAATTAGTGAAATTTCGGGCAAACGGTAAAAATACAGGCCACGGGGCTGAATAGCTTCTCAATAAATTCCTCTCGTTTTGACCCTTCACACCAAGCCCTGACAAAAATCATTTTAATGGACGAACGAATGACTTTATTTCATCATGATATAATAATCAGTAGAGTTAGCGGGGTCGTGCATTTACATGAAATTTAGTTTGAACGATAAATAAAAAATATGAAAAACGTGTTTAGTGAGGGTATAATTATAAATAAGCTGTAAAGGAAAACCCTAAAATTATTTAACAATTATTCGCTGAAGGCGAAGTGAATGTTGTCGAATAATCCCCGACACGAAGTCGAGGGAATTATTCAACAATATTCACTGAGCCTGAGCGAATAACTGTTTTAGTATCATTACTCAGGTCCTCTCGAATTCCGTTGTAAATTCTGTAAATAAAGAAAGAATTGCGCATAAACATGTTACAATTGTGGTAATTACTCGCATCAATATAAACATGGATTTTTTAGCAGGTTTATTTAATTCAATCAGCAAAAATTTCATATCTCTCTTTTAAAAAGTGTTCCGTGAAACTCAGAAGCATCTTTTATGCTTTTTTTCTATCACTTTTATCACTTCCTTGGAAACAATGACAAAACGTAAGGAAGCCGGTTTGAAATCTAGCGCCCCTACTATAGCCCTCTTTGGAAAAGAGTGATAGCCTGGGAACGAAGTCACGCCCCAAGCACTTATGGGATTAATTAGGGGGACGCGGGTAAAAACAAATATGGCGGAAATTAGCGCGGAATGTAATTGTGGCGATGATAGCAAGATTTCAACAAAAGTAGATGGTAATAAGAAAAATACCAGAAGAATGTACCGTGAAACAGGTGCAGCGATGGCTCCTTTGCCGTGAGCTAAAAAAACTGGAAATAAAATGAAGCTCGTTCTAAGGTAGGATAATTTGAAAACTTCTTATTAGTGCCCCTGTCCTTTTCGTTATGTTGTTGAAGAATATTGTCTGTACCTACTTTGGTATTTTTTTCCGTTGTAGAGTAACGGACTACATGGCTGGTGGCCTAAGCTCCAAGATTAAGGACCCTGATGGTGGAATCCATTTAGCGAAAGCTAAGGCTAGCCTGGGACTCATGGAGGAAATTAACGCTAAGGAACTCAAAGAAAAAAAACCAATTTTTTCCAAGTGGATAGCTGAAGTTAACTGATTGAGAACCTCGCTAAAACTTTTTCGACTCCAATAATATGAAAGATTGTTCCTTTTGATTATTACTATGTCGTGAATAATTGAATTCCTTCACTTTTAAATAAGCCATCCACAGTAAAGATTTCATTAAAGTAAACAATGGGTTTGGAATATCATTTCAGATTTTCTTAGAGATATTTTCTAAATTTGTACCCATGACTAATAGCAATTACTTCATGTTGAATCTGGGACAGAACAAAATAGTTTACGATACCCAAATGCTGGGGAAAGGTCTGTTACAATTGCCTATATTGTTACAAGCGACAATGTTTCGGAAGTAAGTTCAATAACATGCAAAATTAGCAAATTATTATTATGTATGTCATCAACAGCCTCTCAAGTCTAATCTTGAAAGGCCAAATTTAACACGTGGATAAGCAAGTTCTACAAGAATGTGCTCATTGTAAAATGCCTCAAGTTTTGGGAGCACTGCTCTCCAGAATTCAGGATTAAAGTTCAATGTTGAAATGAAAACACCTTCAGTGTCTACAATTAATCTGTCGGGAAGATCATTAACTCCCTTTACCACCAGATCAACAACTTAACGAAAAGAACAGGCCACTATTAAGAAATTTTCAAATTACTTTTAAGTTCTCCTACCTTTGAACAAGCTTCATTTTATTTCTAGTTGTTTTAGCTCCACGGCAATGGAGCTATCGCTGCAGCTGTTTCACGGTACATTCTTCTGGTATTTTTCGAGGTAAAATTGCTCCAGGTACATCTTCTTCTCTTAGATTAATGCTTTCTGATTTTCTACTTTCGA